ATCCCCAAACTGTTCCCACAAAGTTGGGAGCATGAAATTGTTCAAAATGTCTTGGTATGCTGATGCCTTAAGAGTTTCCTTCACTGGAACTAAGAGGCCAAGCCCAACCCCTGAAAAACAACCCCACACCACAATCCCCCCTCCACCAAACTTTACACTTGGCAGAATGTAGTCAGGCAAGTACCGTTCTCCTCGCAACCGCCAAACCCAGACACGTCCATCGGATTGGCAGACAGAGAAGCGTGATTGGTCACTGCAGAGAACACGTCTCCACTTCTCTCGAGTCCAGTGGCGGCGTGCTTTACACCACAGCATCCGACGCTTTGCATTGCACTTGGTGATGTAAGGCTTGGATGCAGCTGCTCGGCCATGGAAACCCATTCCATGAAGCTCTCTACACACTGTTGTTGTGCCAATCTGAAGGCCACACAAAGTTTGGAGGTCTGTAGCTATTGACTCTGCAGACAGTTGGTGACTTCTGTGCGCTTCAGCATACGCTGACCCCGCTCTGTCATGTTACATGGCCTACCACTTCGTGGCTGAGTTGCTGTTGTTCCCAGTTGCTTCCACTTTGTTATATTACCACTAACGGGTGACCGCAGAATATTGAGTAGCAAGGAAATGTCACGGATGGACTTATTGCGCTGGTGACAACCACACTTCAATTCACTGAGCTCCCGAGAGCGACCCATTCTTTCACAAATGTTTGTAGAAGCGTCTGCATGCCGAGGTGCTTGATTTTATACACCTGAATCCAATGATTTGGAGGGGTGTTCCAATACTTTTGGCAATATAGTGTATGTATATATATATAATTTTGTTTCCTCCCAATAGTCTGGTGAAGTAGCATGCATACTCTTATGGTCCCCCATAACAAGGGTGACAACTAGGGATGCACCGATACCGAGTATTTGGATGAGTACTCGTACTCGCCCAAATGCTCAGATACCTAGCACGAGTACTTCCTGTATCAGGAAGCCGGGCAACGGATCATTACACGCTGCCCGGTTTCCTGATTGGCCAGAAAACGGCTCCATGCTCTCCCGTCACTTGTGATGAGAGAGCAAGGAGCCGACTTCCCGGCCAATCAGGAAGCTATCTTCCTGACCAATCGGGAAGCCGGGCGCCTTGTATAGACTCAGCGCCCAGCATTCTGATTGGCCGGGAAGCCGGCGTCATGCTCCCTCGTCATCTCATGAATCATAATATTAAGAAAGTGATCTTAAAGCATTTGTTTGTATAGCTTTAGAAAAAATGTGACCTGTCCCTTTAAGAAAAAGTATCGGTAATTGGTATCTGCGAGTACTTGATCAAAAGTATCGGTACTCGGTCTTAAAAAAGTGGTATCGGTGCATCCCTAGTGACACACATGTCAAAGCCTGCCAATCTGCAGATTCTGTACCACTGCCCCGCCTCCTGACCCCTAATGAATATCTCATATCTTATATGAATATAAATTTGACCTTTTACATTTCTGTATTTGGGAAATGCCGTATTTTATATGCATTGCATGCGGCGGCTTTATTATATAGATTAGGTTGGTGTGATTGGGATGGTTTTCATTGGTGTGCTGTTTTGTTTCATTGTTTTGCAGGTCTACACGGTATCTGAGAGCTACTCGTTCATGGTGACCTCCGGACCCTTTGTGTACGCTGCCATTGCCATTGTTAATGTTTTGGGCAGGAGCAGCCTTGTGGTCGGACCAGCTCGTCCCATCGTATCCCTGCAGGTCCCACTTCTCGGACTGGAGCAAAGATTCCAAGTTCAAACAGGTGAGACCAGATGAGCGCCTGTTCTGGTTTGCGATCCGTCGTCATCGGGCTTCCCTCCGGAGATCTTGATGAAAAGGTTTTGTGACTGTGACGGAGCATGGATTGACCCATGCACATAGAGTTCAGGAGCCATACGGTCTCACCCAGGAGCCAACAGGAGGCCCTTGGTGACTATTGTCTACAATGGAGAAGGCTCTAAAGCTGTCTATACACTGACAGTTTAAAAAAAAAAAATTCTTGACTCCCCCATCCACTGTTGCAGTGCAGATGGGGTACCACCCCCAAAGGGCTATTGTATGGCACAGGGGTGGGCAACTCCGGCCCTCTACCTGTTGTGGAACTACAAGTCCCATGAGGCCATGCAAGACTGGCAGTTACAGGCATGGCTTCTAAAGGCAGAGGCATGTTGGGATTTGTAGTTGAAGCACAGACGGAGGGGCGGAGTTGCCCACTCCTGGTATAGCATCACACCAGCTGCTGTCACAATACCTGAACAGTAACTTCGGCTGCAGTCACTGTGCAGTTGGAAATTTTCAGACCAGCCCTTTCACCAAAAATCAATTGAAGGATCGATTGGGGAGGGTCAAGCCCCGAGCATTAATAGTGTATATCATGTGTGGGCAAACGCGGCCCTCCAGCTGTTGTGGAACTACAAGTCCCATGAGTCATTGCAAGACTCACAGACGACTCCCAGAGACGATTGCATGGTGGGATTTGTAGTTTCACCACAACTCGAAGGCTGTAGTTTGCCCACACCTGGTGTATATAAACCCTAACAATAGATGTCTCCTATTTGCTGCTCTTTGATCTCTTCACTATACCATTGAAAGTAGGGATGCACCGATACCGATAATAGTACTCGCCCAAATGCTCCGATGCCAAGCCCGATACTTCCGGTATCAGGAAGCCGGGCAGCGTGTCATTACATGCTGCCCGTCTTCCTGATTGGCCAGAAAGCCAGCTCCATGCTTCCTCGTCACCAGGTGACGAGGGAGCATGGAGATGGCTTCCCTGCTAATCAGGAAGCCGGGTGGCGAGTCATTACATTTAATGTGACTTCCGGTATCGGTATTTGGCGAGTACCGAAAAAAAAATATCGGTACTCTTACTAGATACCGAAAAAACGGTACTGGTGCATTCCTAATTGAAAGTGTTTTGTTGTACAGTATATGATCAATAAGTGCAAAACAAATCCCAGTTGATTCTGCCACAAATCTTGATTACGTCCTGCGCTCTCTGCTTGTGCTTCATCTCACCCAGATCTCTCTGTGGACTACAGAATTCCTTCCCCCTATGTTGTGTAGAAGGGGGGGTGTTCTGCATGATGGATCCGGTTCTATTCACTGTCTTTGTCGCTTCCTCTTCAGTCCTGCAGTTTGTGCCGCAGTCAGTCGATATCCGACTCTGCACATTCAGCGAGCAGATCCAGAGGGGCCTGAGCCTGGCATTGTACGAGGTGCGCCGACTGCGCCAGGAGAAGGAGAATGTCACCGTTCAGGTAACAGAGATTTATGCCACCGATGACCTGTCCGTTATTCTGTCACTCCTGGTGAAAAATCTACTTTTATTTTTCTTCCCACCCTGCAGATAGTGAATATCAGCACCAGTTTGCCCCGGGACATGGTCTGGAAGGCTCCGGTCACTATCACGTACACTGTCCAAGACCGCGGCGGATTCCTGAACGGCTCTGAGATCAGCGATCAGCTCAGGAATCTGAGCCTGGTGGAGTTCAGCTTCTTCCTGGGCTTTCCGGTGAAACAGATCGCAGAACGTGAGTATGGCGTCATGGCTGTAGGGATGAGTTGGGAGTAGGGTTGAGCTCCATGTACGCTGCTACCATGGTTTATAGGCAAAGCTGGCGAGTTCAAGATTCACAGTCCTGCCAAATGTATGTGCAGATTCACCCTGGACACTGAATGGTCTTTGTATACCTAATGGCCATAGTTAAAAGGCCATTCTGCATTCAGTGTCCAGGGTGAATGTGCACATACACTCGGCAGGACTGTGAATCTTGAACTCGCCAGATTTCAAGGTTTTTTTTGTCTCCTCACTATAAAAGAGGAAAGGGGAATGAACAGAGCAGCCATAGTGTCAGTGGATTGGCTGAGCCCAGTGGAAAAATGTTCAGCCAAACAATGGCTGCACCCTTTACGAAAGGGGTAGGCAACCTCGGCACTCTGGCTGTTTTGAAACTACAAGTCCCATGAGGCATTGCAAGACTCTGACATACACAGGCATCACTCCCAGAGGCTGAGGCATGATGACATTTGTAGTTTCAGCACAGCTGGGAGTGCCAAGGTTGCCTACACCTGGTTTAAAAGAGAACTATAGCCAAATCTTTTTTTTTGGGGGGGGGGGGCTATAGTTCTCTTTTGGGTCACAGGAGGACATTTACTAATGTCCTCCTGTGTCCCAAAATCAGCTGCTAGCTATATGCTGATGGCGCAGAGCCGCACTGCAGCCGGGAAAAGTCCCAACAATATTGTCAGGATCCACCCCACTGCCTGATTGACAGTTGGCTCTGCCGCTCTGGATCTAGAGCCAGCTGTGCCCGCCCCTCCCTGGTCTGTCTCACTAGTGAGCACTGGGGGAAAAGAGAGAGTGGAGGGGGGAATCCCTGTGGGGAGAGGTAACGGACAGTCACCGCTCCCTGCAGGAAGAAGACCATGAGCTGAGCGATCAGCGGTTTGCGATCACTCAGTTCTGGAGCTATAGACTGTGGCACTGCAGCTGTCACACGCCGGCTCAAACTTTTGTGAAGAGTACATTTTACTCTCCCAGTACTGTTCCTTTAAGATGTAGTCACTGTTTTGGGTAATAGCTGCAGGTGCTGGGACTGGCTGAATACAGAAGTCAGTAGGGGGGGATTCCTCCATCCATGCTGTTTATCGATCCGTTTTTTGTCGTTCATCCCACAAGCTGACCAGAGAAAATCTACGGTATACGTGTTTTGCAAGTATTAGATTGCTTGATGACAGCTCGGTCTTCACTAGGGCTGCAACTAATGATCATTTTCATAATCGATTAGTTGGCCGATTTTTTTTCGGTAAAAAAAATGAAATACCATCCTTAATTTAAATAAAATACACACTGCAGTATTACAGACATAAAGTTTACTTCATAATAAAGCTGCGCGTTTGAAATGAATGGCACCGCAGTGCACCTCCCGCAGCAGAATTTGTCAGACCGAAACCAAAAATGACTTTTTTCCACCTTTTTATAATTAAAAAAAAAATAATTGTATTGTAAGCACATGCAGCTTGAATAGCTTCAGCCGAGGAATGAGCTGCCAGTGGCAAGGTTCCGCAAGCAGCAGCTGAATGCAAATACAGCAGGTAGTGGGCGGGTGCAATAGCCAGCCTGCTATTGGCCTTTTCAAATGGCAATAACCAATAGCACCCGCCCACTGCTTGCTGTGCCCTTCTCCCAGCGTGGAGGAGAGAGCTAGGGGATCCAACCAACTAATCGATAATGAGAATGGTTGACAACTATTCTCATTATCAATTAATTGATTAGTTGGTTGCAGCCCTAGTCTTCACCTTCCATCAGTTGAACACCATGAATGAAGGTGCCCACACACCTTGCGATAATCGTATGATAATCGCGGGAAATCCCGCGATCGTACGATTTATCGTAAGGTGTGTGGAAGCTGTGCGACCTCTACTACTGTAAGGTCGCACGACTTTTATCTTAGGAACATGTTCGAAAACCCGCCGAGCATGGTACGATGTTCGGCGGGTGTGTAGCATGTTCGTAAGATAGAAGCTGGACGGGATTTTATCTTACAACTGCCCGTTCAGCATTGCGGTCATCGGAAGCCCGCCCCTCAGGGGTGCGCGGCTTGCAATCATCTCAAGTACGATCTGCCTGTCCAAGATAGACAGATTGCACGTTTTTTTTAATTACCTTACAACCATCGCAAGACAAAAGTATTGCGATGGTTGTAAGGTGTGTGCCCAGCCTAACACTTTTTTTTTAGAATACTGTAAATTATCTACAACATTTCTATCAAAAGAGGTTTTTGGAAATAAGATTTGTATGTATCACCATGTTCCCTCTGCTCATGGAAATCCTTCCCCGGCATGAAGTATTCCATGTATGGGATCCGCTCCTCTGACACTCGGTGTATTTGCCCTCCGGGAGTCGGAGAATGTGGGAAAGTTTGCGGCTCAGGAATCTGCTTTGTTCAGACCTTGTATTATTCAAGGGGGACTCAGGAAGGCAGGAGACGGGGGGGCTTTGTCTGTATAAACAGCCACTGAATACACAGTGACATCATCCTCCAGAGAGAGGACATGAGACCGCCGGGCTGAACTAAGACAGCTATTACATCACCAGGAGTGCAGGTCACTGTTATCATTGGGATACATGGGGAAAGAGGCCCTGTCACTATGAAATCTTACTAATCACATTGAAACCATTAACAATGCAAAACACTATAAACTGAGCATATTTAAAGTATATTTCTATGTTTGCAGCCAGTTCATCATTTATTAAAGAAGGGAATTGTATTTACAATTGTTTCCAAGAACCACCTGCACTCCTTACGGTCTACGACCTTACAATATTGGTGGTGCTCATAGTGATCGCATTGATGGCACCGTGCAAAACTCAGTGAGTAATCTCAGTGGGTCACCGGCACACACAAAGAAAAGTTCCGATATTGATATCTCATTGATATGTTTATTGAAGAACGTCACGTCATCAGAAGCTGACGTTTCGGGACCTCGCAGGGACCCTTCATCACTATGTCGCTCTGCTGAAGGGTCAATTCACACCGTGCTATACATACTATTCCTTCACATCAGTCCCTGCCCTCCACTTGCTTACAATCTAAGGTCCCTATCTGACTAAAGGTGCCCATACACTGTGCGATTATCGCACGATAATCGTGGGAAATCCCGCGATCATATGATAATCGCAAAGTGTATGGAAGGTGTGCGACCGTATTTACTGTACGGTCGCACGTCTTTTGTCTAAGGAGCATGTTCGAAAACCAGCCGAAAATCTTACGATTTTCGGCTGGTTTGTGGCATGCTTGGGAGACAAAGGCCGAACGGGCCGGTGTGTGCACACGCACACTGCCCGTTCAGCATTGCGGTCATCGGAAGCGGGGCGGGCTTACGATGATCGCAAGTACGATCTTCCTGTCCAAGATGGGCAGATCGTACGTTTTTTAAATTACTTTACAACCCTCGCAAGACTAAGGTTGTAAAGTGTATGGCCACCTTTAGTGAGAGAAGTGTGTAAATTGACAGCACTATACAGTATAAATCCCTATAATAAATTTAATACAGTAGCTCAGTGGTTAGAACTTCTGCCTTGCAGCACTGAGGTCCACAGTTCAAATCAAGGACAGCCAGGACACTATCTGCATGGATTTTACATGTTCTTCCTGTACTTTCGTGAGTTTCCTCCCACACTCCAAGACAAGAAGGTTAATTGGCTGCTGACTGTATTGGCCCTTAGTATGTATGCATGTGATATAGGGACCTTAGACTGTAAGCTCCTTGAGTACAGGGACTGATGTGAAAAGTGCAACTATGTAAATTACCAGCGCTAGATGAATATCTAATCAATAATTCCTGCACTGCATACATCGTGATCGATATGAGCTCTGTTATTTATTATTGTTATTTATGTTATTTTAATACTTCACATACTTTGCAGGTATAATTGTTTCCATATTGTCTTGTATGTTTTCATTGTATAGTCGGATTCCAGCTTTGGAGACATTGTAACATTTTTCGTGTCATTGTGTTTTCAGCCTCTCAGTATCCTCAGCTCAATACCTCTCCGCACCTGAAGGATTCCTGGCTGCGCACAGGTAAGGCTCATTACAGACCGAGCTCTGTGTATTGTAGTGCAATCCGATTTATAATCTAATGAACAATTTATTCCAGATCATCAAACAAATTTAAATATTAGTCAAAGATAACACAAGTAAACACAACATGCAGTTTTTAAAGGAAGGTTTTTATTATTAAGGGAAAACAAAATCCAAAACCACATGGCCCTTATATATATATATATAATCTTTTAAAATTACATACTATTTGAGGTTGAATAAAGACACGGGTCCATCAAGTTCTTTGTGTGTCTGTATGTGATTCTGCGTGTGTGTGTGTATATGAATCCCTGTGTGGTCTTAGGTTTAAAAGTACCTGTACCCCTGTATGTTACGGTCTCTTATGAAGGTATCTAAATGCTTTTTGAATGATTCCATACTCTCAGCTGATACCAATGCTTGTGGCAGCAAGTTCCCAATTTGAACTGCTCTAACTGGGAAAAAAAGCCCCTACGCACCTTGTGTTTAAATCTTTTCTCCACCAGTTTTAGGTGGTGGCCTCTCATCCTTGTACTATATAGATCCTATATAGCAATTTATATATAATCTAGAAGAATGCTGAGCCCCATTTTATAAAAGGAAGCTCATCTGTTCCCTTTCAGCAATTCAGCAGATATTATCTTGAGTTCAGTGCCTAAGTCCAGACATAACATTTGCTTTTGATTATGATATATTGGGGAAGAGTTGAAGTGTCCGTTTTTTATTACCTTCTGTGTCCCCATCGGGAGTAATAGGGAATCTATCTAAAGAGGAAACAGGCAAAGAAAAACACATAATTACTAGAGTGACGAAGGAAATAGACCAGGGGTAGGTAACATTGGCACTCCAGTTGTGGTGAACTACAAATCCAATCATGCCTTGCATCTGGGAGTCATGCTCCGTACAGACCCCTCACGGCACTTCAGGCGAAGTCCCCTCTTCTCATCCACACCCTCCCGTGGATATACCACTTGGACCAATACATCGATCACAGTCGGACACCACATCACGAGTGCCCCGATCCTCCACACCGGCCGCCCATCTCCAGATCCTGGCAATCACACGTAAGTGCCACCACCTTCAGTTTTTTTCATCACTACTTTGTTAACTAGCCAGTGTTCTCTGCGCCCTTCCTTGGTTTTTTGAATATTCACAATCCACAGGTTCTCCTCCTGTTTCCCAGGGCTGCACACACGCCTCTAAGCTAGTTTGTTGCCCATCCGAGAGCGCTGTTTATATGTTTTTTCTGTGAGTCATGCCTGTGTCAGTCTTTGAGTGCCAAGGTTGCTTACCCCTGGAATAGACCTTCTGACAAGGATTTGCTGTACCTTCCTGACCTGGTGACAACCACTTTTTCCATTTTTTTTTGTTTAGATGTCACAGGGACAGGAAGTAAGGTAAAAAGAAGCCTGACCGAAAAACATTTTCCCAGTTTATCCAAAACATAAAATAATGGTACCACTACTTTACCCCGGTCTTCTTTTAACTTCCAGCATGGATACTCCGTACACCTGCTGGATTTTCAGTGAAATAAAAGACCTTTTTCCAACTCTTCCATATTGTGCTAGGAAAAATAGTCCATGTTACAGTGTGTGCCTACGCAGGGCCGGATTACAAGCATCATGGGCCTGGTGCTGTCGGTCAGTCGGACAGGAAGCAGCAGAGGCTCTATAATTAGGTGGCCGCTCACTCCTCGCCGGGGCCTTATGGGGCTGCCTAATATGCCTGATTAGAGAGTTGCCGGCGTCTCTGTCTGATTGTGTTCGGCCCGGATTGCCATCTGGCATACCGAGGAGATCTGGGCTAGCTGGGCCTATTTTCAGTGGTAGGCCTAGAGCTGGCGCCCCAGTAGCCCCTATGTAAATCCAGCCCTGTGTCTATGTTGGAAGGATTATTAGGCCACAGACAGCAACGAAGACCCCTCCCTGTAAAGCTAAAAACATGTGGGCTGGAGTAAGCTTTCAAGTTGAAACCTGCTTATATTTTGCCTTCCCTGGTTCATTATTTCCCCATCTCATCAACATGCTAATTAAATGTTTAGATGAATGTTTCCGTTTCGTTTCCATACCTCATATTAGAACCATTGATGTCATCACTGGGTCGCTGTGCTTCTCTATGCAATGCAGAAGGGGCCTGCAGGGTTCTTTACATAGCTTCCTGAAAGTATCACAGCACCCTGCCTCAGAACGCCTCCTGATACAAGCAGCCGCCTGGCGCTTGGGAGGAGTTATGCAAATATTACATTGCCTTGATGGGTGGATGTCAGTCTGGAGGAGTGGGTTTGCATTTGCATACACACTGCCCTAGACAACACCCACATGTGATACTGAACCTCAGTGACTGAAATCTGATGAAAATAGGGCAGGATAGGGACAGTCAGTCTGGGGAGGAAACAGTTAGATGATGCTGGATGTCCTCCAGCCAGGAAATGGGAGGGGCTCTATCTGACTTGCTGCAGCCTCTGATGCACATTATGAGGAGCACACAGCGTGCAGTGAAATCAGAGGAAGGAGAGGAGCCAGTACAATGGTGCTAGGGTAAGACTTTAAAGGTTCATATCAATGTTCTATTTAATAGCTGAAGGCCGTTTTATACCTACAGGTCAGTAATTGGTGCTTGTATAGGGCGCCCCACAATTCCCTGGCCAGTTCTTATCTGTGAGTGTGGTTGCTGAGTGTTGTAGAATCCCATTTCCATGTCTATAAGTTGCTCTTCCCATTTGTCTGCGGCAGTCCTGCTCGGCGTCCAGGAGCAGCAGCTGAGGGACGAGGCCTTCCAGGCGGAGATGGAGAGGAAGCTGGCTCAGCTCATCAGCGAGGCCACGTTACAGAAGAGGCGCTGGAAGAGAGCCAGCTACGCCGGGAGCAACTCCGTGCAGGTGAGGTGGGGCAAAATCCCTTCCGGTCACGTGACCCCAGGCGGGGAACACCGCGACCGCTCCAGGAAACTTCCATTGGGAACAGAATAGTGGAGTATTGTACCATGTTGGCCATCGCTTAGTGCAGAACGTTTGAAGTTTAGGTGATACGCTTTTTTGGCTAACATAAAGAAGAACTCCGGGTAAAATTTGTATTAACCCTTGCAGTGGCGCTACCCCTACACTGCCAGGGCTGACCGGCTGTCATAGCACTCCCTCCTCACTCCGCTGCAGTGATGGTATGTCCCTCAGAATCCTCATGTCCTATACACTGTGTATAGGACATGATGACTCAAGGATCCTTAGACCGATGCAGCGGAGGGGAAGAGAGGCTCCAGGGACCGGTCTAACAGTGAGTCGGTTCTGGGGATCGGGGGAGTATAACTTTTTTATTTTCGGCCCCACTGCAAAGATTAAGAAAATATATGTCCAGAGTCAGGAGCGTCTCGAGGCCAGGTGTCGTTATCGCATATGCGCAGCCATCTTATTGATACCTGCCGGCGGCCATCTTGTGATGGACGCCGGCAGAGAGAATAGGGGACATTTTGGTGTCACCCCTCCAATGGTGTCACCCGGGTGCAGGCCGCAGCCCCTGCACCCCCGTTGTGACGTTACTGGGTAGCCCCACTGCAAGGATTAAGAACATTTATGTCCGGTGATGACTTGTTAGAAGACTGCAAAAAAAATCCAGCGAGGGCAGCCAATCGGCAATTAAGCTAAGACATCCATTGGCTTTTATTGTCTGACTTTAGCTGGACCAATCCCATTCACAATCTTGGCTCACAGAACTGTGCTGCCACCTGGTGGGGAGAAGTTGTATGTACATCCAGCTTAATTCAAAGGATTTTGGTTTAATGAAACGGAAATGTGAGCGGAGGAAGTATGGCGACTGCCATCGTAGACATCCCCTTCTGAAAATTCGAATTACCTGGCTTCAATGCTGATCCAGTAGCTTTAGCACTTTGACTCACACATGCCAGGAGCAAGTATAGAGACTGGGAGCTCTTGCAACAATCTGAGGTTCCTTGTTCTGGGTCAGTGTCTCAGTGGTCAGTCTGTATTGAAGCCCAGCTACAGCCAGGCATCTAGCACTTTCAGAGAAAGGTCAGCAATGGCTGCCTGGTGTCTCTCCCATTAGAGGTTTCTATTAAGACAGACCTGTAATCTAGGTACAGTGTTACTTTAATGAAAATGCTCCCATAGTAAAAAATAATATAAAATAGTATATAGTATTCTGGAATATTCCCAAGTAGTCTCCTTGCTGGCATCAGTCATGTGACCAATGTATACAAATATTGAAATAAACTATACACCAATCAACCATAACATTATGACCACCGCCTAATATTGAGTAGTTCCCCTTTTTGCCACCAAAACAGCCCTGACCTACTGAGGCATGGACTCTACTAGACATCTGAAGGTACGCTGTGGTATCTGGCACAAATCTGACAGTAGAAGATCCTTTAAGTCCTCTAAGTTGTGAGGTGATCGGCCTCCATGGATTGGACTTGTTTTACCAGCACATCCCACAGATGATCAATTGGATTGAGATCTAGAGTATTTGGAGGCCAAGTCAACACCTCAAACTCATTGCTGTGTTCCTCAAACCATTCTTGAACTATTTTTGTAGTATGGCAGGACGCATTATCCTGCTGAAAGAGGCCACTGCCATCAGGGAATACTATTTCCATGGAGGGGTGTACTTGGTCAGCAGCAATGTGTAGGTAGGTGGTACGTGTCAAAGTAACATCCACATGAATGTCAGGACCAGAGGTTTCCCAGCAGAACATTGCCCAAAGCATCACACTACCTCTGCCAGCTTGACTTCTTCCCATAGTGCATCCTGGTTTGATCTCTTCCCCAGGTAAGTGGCACACACGCACCCGGCCATCCACATGATGTATAAGAAAATGTGATTCATCAGAGCAGGCCACCTTCTTTCATTGCTCCGTGTTTCAGTTCTGTTGCTCACGTGCCCATTGTAGGAGCTTTTAGAGGTGGATGCAGGTCAGCATGGGCACCCTGACTGGTCTGCAGCTACGCTGCCCCATATGCAATACAATGCAATGCTCTGTGTGTTCAGACACCTTTCTATCAGAACCAGCAATTACTTTTTCAGCAATTTGAGCTCCAGTAGCTCTTCTATTGGATCGGACTACACGGGCCATCCTTCTCTCTTCACGTGCATCAATGAGCCTTGGCCATCCATTACCCTGTTGCCAGTTCACCAGTTCTCCTTCCTTGGACCACTTTTGGTCGGTCCTGACCACTGCAGACCGGGAACATCCCACAAGAGCTGCAGTTTTGGAGTTACCCGGACCCAGTCGTCTAGCCATCACAATTTGGCCCTTGTCAAAGTCACTCAAATATCTCCCACCCACTTCCAGGTGCCATTGGAATGAGATAATCAATGTTATTCATTTCACCTCCCGGTGATCATAATGTTATGGCTTATCGGTGTATCTTCCCTTTAGGAAGTGCAAAATATGTCCATGGTTATGACCAGTATAGCCAGTAAATGGTCCAGTTGTTGATGTTTTCCAGACAGTGAAGGGAAAATGAAGGGTCAGTAATGTATTTTGCTTCCAGGTAGTTTTTTTGTTTTCTTTTTTATAACGGGATGGTATGTGAAACAAAAACTTTTTTTAGCACCTGTGTTCATTGAGATATTTGGAATAGTACACCCTTTTTGGGCTCTATTCTGGCAGAGGGTGGGGTGCTGTTCTGTGAGGGGCGCTCTATGCAGGCGAGTGGTGCTGTTCTGCAAGGTTGAAGGGTACTGCTCTGTGAGAATGAGGGATGTTTGTGAAAAAGACCCCTTTAGATAGCCCCATGTACAAAGTCTGACACACAACTGTGAAGCGGCACTCACCCATTCTGTCCTCGCAGATGGTGAATATTTCCCGGATGGAAGGTTTGGATGACCCGGTGGAGCTGATCTATTTCATCGAGGATCAGTATGGAGGACGGTTAGCTGCTGATAAGGCTTCTAGCTTGATCAATGAGGTGAACATCCAGCGAGCGGCCATCATCCTCGGATACCGATTGCAGGGAGTGGTGGCACAACGTGAGTGACACATTCATACACATTGTCATGCTGGTAGAGACTAGAGGGTTTCTAATTTTTATTGATTTCTGTTTCCAGAGGAGGGGATATATACACCATTATGTAAAAGAGAACAGTGAAAATCAAATACACAGAGTCTGGCAGCAATCCATATACAAAGCTTAGTACAATCAGAACTAGAGTAGATGGAAATGGTACATTAATGAGAAAGCTGCATACAAGGTATCTGTGTCAGTGGAAGAGGAAGCAGTGCTGGATCAGTAAGTTGTATATAAGGTGACAGTGTGTATATCGTAAGACAGTGGAGGAGGAAGCAGTGCTCAATCAGTATGCTGTATATAAGGTGGTATCGTGTGCCCTGTGATATAGTAAATGAGGAAGCAATGCTGGATCAGTAATTTGTTTATAGGGTAACAGTGTGTGCCTTGTCATATAATGGTTGAGGAAGCAGTGCTCGATCAGTAATCTGTATGAATAGTGACAGTGTGTGCCTTGTCATATAGTGGTGGAGGAAGCAGTGGTGGGTCAGTAATCTGTATGAATGGTGACAGTGTGTGCCTTGTTATATAGTGGAGGAGGAAGCAGTGCTGGATCAGTAATTTGTTTATAGGGTAACTGTGTTCCTTGTTAGATAGTGGAGGAAGAAGCAGTGCTGGATCAGTAATCTGTATAAATGGTGACAGTGTCAGTTATTGAAGGAAGAGGAGGCAGGAGTAGTATACTGATGGTGGGTGCCTTGTTAGATAATGGAGGAGGAAGCAGTGCTTGGCGAGTGAGCGGAGAGATGTATTATACCACAAGATCTGATGAAGGATGTTACAAGGAGATGGAGGGCACTGATTGGTATATAGAGTGTTCGGGGAGGGGGGAAGGAGGTTCGGGGGGGCGCAAAAATGCACATTGCCTGTGTAGGCAAGAATCCTAGCATCGGCACTGTAGAGGAGGGTTCTAGGGGAGACCAATACATATAGGAGGGTATCCTTTAGTAGAAGAGGATGAAGTTTGGTACGGAGTAGGGTTATATTGGGGTGCGCAGAGGTGGGTGCAGTTGCTGTAATCGTGTCTTTCTGCAGCAATGAACCAGCCCCCAGAGACGGACCGGCAGGCACAGAACCTCTGGATCATCGTAGGTGTGGCTGTGCCAGTACTGGTGGTGACCATCATCATCATCATCCTGTATTGGAAACTCTGCCGGACCGACAAACTCGACTTCCAGCCGGATACGATCAGCAACTTGCAACAGAGACAGAAGGTGAGGGGAATCCTGAGGGCTGCGCCATCTCTTGGCAAAATCTCATTTTCTAGAGCTTCAATTTTTATGGTCAGTTCTGATGGAAGAACATTTACAGTCCTTTTAGCACATCGAGGAGATTACAAGATATCATTGCCTGGTTTTATCTTTATCACTTAGCTTATGGTGACTATGGTGGTCTATTTATGAACAATCCACAGGGCTGTTTGCTCTGAGAATATCTCCCTCCGTGCAAATTCATGCCAAAAGGAAAGTTATTTTATTTTTCTTTAGAAGTGTAATGCATTTTCAAATGTTGTAACGTAATTTCGTATTATGGGCACTAGATGGCGCTACAGAAACATAGAAAATTTGTCTGTGTTCCTCAGTGCCATCTAGTGGTCATAATGTGATATTACATGCAAGTACATTCCCTTGTAAAGAACGATCTTTTTGGCATTCTGCACTGAGCGAATGTTCACAGAACCAATATTTACAGGGTGAATGGCCCTGTGCATAGTTTATAATTGGACCCCTTGGGGATATCTTTGAAATAAGGTTCATCCTAGTGTGTGATATGTGTGTGTTTAAATGCATGTGTGATGTGTGTGTGTTTTAAATGCATGTGTAATGTGTGTGTGTGTGTGTTTTAAATGCATGTGTGATGTGTGTGTGTTTAAATGCATGTGTGATGTATGTGTTTAAATGCATGTGTGATGTATGTGTTTAAATGCATGTGTGATGTGTGTTTTTTAATGAGCGTGTGATATGTGTGTGTTTTTTAATGAGTGTGTGATGTGTGTGTTTAAATGTGTGTGTGTGTGTGTGTGTTTTTAATGAGTGCGTGATGTATGTGTTTTAATGCGTGTGATGTGTTTTTTTAATGATTGTGTGATATGTGTGTGTTTTAAATCCGTGTGTGATATGTGTGTTTTATCATTACGTGTGTGATGTGTGTGTGTGTTCCATTACGTGTGTGATGTGTGTGTGTTCCATTACGTGTGTGATGTGTGTGTTTTATTGAGTGTATAAATATTTGAATGTGTGTTCCCGTTTTTTTGCCGGCAGGCAGTGATGCTGAACATTTTTTATAGCCCAGCGCACAAACTGCAACACAATGCCAATACGTCTTTTTGGTGTTGTCACTTTGAGATAAATAAATAGATTTTTTGTTGCAGTTTGGGCGCTCAGGTTCACAAACGTTCCCCGTCACTGGCATACATAGTATAACATGCATAGTATAACATACATAGTACAGCGGTGATACTTTGTACATACAGCATGCAAACAGTTGTTGGTTGTGTCCTATGCTCCGCCCCCTAGCTCCAGGCCCCCAATGTTAAGGGCTTTGACTTTGCCAAGCAGCACCTGGGCCAGCACAATAAAGATGAAGTTCTCATCGTTCACGAGCCTCCACTGCCGGTGTTACACGGACCCCTGAAAGACTCCACCCCCTCTGAAAATGGAGATATCCCCAGCCCAAAGTCCAAGGCTTCCGCTAAGCACAACAAGGTCGGGCGCCACCGCAGCAGGTAAGGGATAAAGCAACGGCAGTTGTGGAAGAAATGTTCTGGATCGGACATTAAAATATGTATCCGCCATGGTTGGGACACCAGCTTGCTGCAGATTGGTTATATTTTATCTCCAACAACCAATCAGTGAGATCCTAATACTATCCGGGGAACATTGCAGCTGTTTAGTCAGCTGCAGACGGATTCAGTAGGCCTTTCACACTGCTTCTGGGCAAAATTTGAGTCAGGTTTGCGGGATCCCTTGTAGGACATGCTTTTTGCATCTCTATGCCTTGCATCAGACTCTGACATCCTCCCCACCTCCTTCATCCCTCCCATTAAAACCTATACCTACACTTTGCTTTATTGTAGTCCCTTATACAAGCAGGGCTTAGACTGGAATAGGCAGCACTGGGGGGGCCGGTCAGGCTCTGCTGCATGTATGTGTGCTGACAAGGAACATACTAACATAGAGTAAAGGGATGACCTCATCAGCCTGGTGCTGCTCCTTCACTGTCAAATCACAGGCTGAGGGTTGGGAGGTGACCAAGCTCTGTTGTTTAGCTAAAATAGAGAAAAATCAGGTCACTAGACTGGCTGTCCTATCTGGCAGAGCTGTGTAATTCTCAGAACTGGATAGTCCGAAATACAAATGCATTGGCTGGTAAAACAGCTGCAAATATATATACTTAAATGGGGTATTTAGTGGTTTTAAGGTTTAAGTGTGTTTGTACCAATTGACACGGGCAGCCACATAGCATTTTCTTTTCTGTTTTTGGCAGTAGGGTTAGCCCCTCAGACGTGGGATCAACCGCTAGTGAACCATCGAGCGGAAGGGATTCGGGTGAGGATGGATCTCCGCGGCCCTCAGCTCCTCCGCGTGAAACCCCACAGCGACCAAAAGGCAAAGGAGGTGAGTCCATATATCCAGGACGTGTGATGAGAATCCTCTGCTTTCCTTCCTGACAGTCTGAAGAAATGGGCCTATTGTTAATCTAATCCTACACTAGATGCACTTCCTCTCTGTACATGGCACTGTCTTCTGTGGTTCTCCAAAAGACAATTTAGTAAAAAAAAAACTATTACTGGTTCTTTTGTAATAAATATCAGTCCAAAGGATCGGCCAGAACTGACCAGCTCAGTTTTAGGTTGATTGGTAGAGGGGAATTTTTAAAGTGGGTCCAGTTACTGTGTACACTGGGTCTGGATGGCTGCAGGGGATGCTAAAAATCCTCCCTTTAGTCACGACTGATACAGTAGAGGACTTTGGTTCACTGAGACTGATAGTGCCGGTTATAGTACAGTGAAGGATTCGAGTCATTCACTCTCCCCTTGTCCATTCACAAAAAAAAAGCCCTGCCTTCTTTTCACAGAACCCAAGGCATTCTGTGAATGGACGAGGGGAAGGGGTTTAAACAGCGTGATCTTCCCTGGTCCATTCACAGAATGTCTTGTGTTCTATGAAAAGAATCTTTGATCCTTCACTGTAGCCAAAACAATCTCTCACAGCGACTGAAGCTCATAGCCGACAGTAGGATTTTTAGCATCCCAATAGCCACCCAGGCCCAGTATACACAGCATTAGTGGTAACTTATCTGCAGTGGCGAATCCAGGGTATGGCACTTGAAGGGGGCACCCCTTCGTGAGTCAGCGAAAGTTCGCTTAACGATGTAGACAGCTGACTTTTTTTTTTTCTTTCCCCACCCCTCTACCATACACATCTACTGCCTGACTCTTTGCAACCAGGGTCGCTCTGGCTGGCGTCCCACCCATCTCCTGGCATGGCAACCAGTGACATCATTATTTGCCAGGAACTGGGCAGGACATCGGGCCAAGTGTCCCAGGTTGCTAAGTGCCGAGAGGGGAGATGTGTATGGCCCTTACACATCTCCCCACTCATCTTTTAGCAACCAGGGATGCTCTGGCTGGCGTCCTACCCAGCTCCTGGCAAATAGTGATGTCGCTGGGTGGGATGCCAGGGGCACAATATGTTGTCGATATTCTTTTACTTATCTGCACCCTGCAAATCTAAAAAAAAAAGTGTTTTCCTGAAGTTCTAGCTGGTGAAGTGCTGCTTATGACCGCCAGAGGGAAGTATTAACAAACAAGCAATCAGTTGGTAGTAATTTGGTCCCCCGCTCCTTTTACTCTGGGTCTGCTACTGTCAGAAAGTCTTCTTAGATCATCGATAATCTGAGTTTTATATAAGACATTGCAGAAAGAATTAGGAGGCTTTTCATGACCCTTTTGGCCAGGGCTGCAGCCTGCTGTTAGATGATTCTGTGCTTTGCAGCCCCCTCTTTGGCAACAGGAGATGGTGCTGGTAATCAGGAGTACATGGTCTGCATATCCCCTGGTTTAAATGAAAGGCTGTTTAGATAATAAGTATTCCAGCTGTCATAAGGATTTAACTGTCTGGATGGTGAAGAGACTTCCCAGGGTGAGAATTTGAGGCGCACAGCAAGGAGAAAGCTTCCCCTGAATCGGATTAAGGTAACTTTGTCCCAATCCTGAGCAATTCAGACTTGGTATGATGAAGTTTATATGACCAACTTCTTCCCCTGCCCACCTGATGAGCCGGTTTATTAGAGCAGCTTCAGTGACCAATTTGACGACTCAGGATGTGGGGTAAGGGCTTGTTCACACCATGTCCATTGAGCTTCGTTTTCTGCACACCACATGTATTATGTGAACAGGGCACATAGAGAACAGCACAACTCTTTCAGAAGAAGGTGTTCCCAGATCGTCAGCAGAAGGGAGCGAGGTGGGCTAGAACATCGCAGTCGGGCCTGGATGCAAAAGTGTACGCTGCGCTTCCTGTATGCATCTCAAGCAGTGGCGTATCTATAGCCGCAGCAGCCCAAGTGACTGCTATGGGGCCTGGGTGGCAAGGGGACTCCATTAGGTTGTTGAGACAAATTAAATATAGAACTTGTGAAGATAACAGTACTGTATCATTTAAGGTTGGAGTGGTTGCAGTTGATGTTACTCCCCGGTAAAGTCTACAGTATAGAGATGACTTCAGGTGCACAAGAGGAGTCTTTGGGATCTTGGCATCATTACTCACAGAGGTCATCAGGCCCCACCCTCCCCCCTTCACATTTTTGCTATGGGGATCTGTGATCTGTAGTTACGGCTCTCATCTCCAGGCCTTCTCTTCAATTTTGACTGGAGCCTAGGTTTAAATATTTTCTTATTCGAGATGGAAATTACTTTTCTTTTAATGTCATGTATATTACACTGAGGAAGAGCCGATATGATGGCCCTGATGATCTTTGACATGTTTTCTCTCCAAAGAGATGCCGGTGTTGGGCAGCGGGGTGGAGCAGCATTCCTCTGCATCTATATTTGAACACGTGGATAGGATGTCGCGCTCCTCAGAGGCCAGCCGCCGTCTTCCTAGCAAAATTCAACTTATCGCCATGCAGCCGATGGCCACCCCACCCATGCATGGGCTGTCTGTGGCAGAACGAGAGATGGAGGCCAATAAGATAAATAGAGAGGTGGGTATCTTGGGCGATGGTCTCCCTTATCTTGGGGAGTCACCGTCTGTACAAGAGCTCCTGCAATCCTTCGGTTCCATATATTGTTACATTTCTTAAATTCATTTTTCTCCAATATTGTTACAACCCGATTAGGTTTAAAAGGCAAAATGCATTATTGCTGTGACTTTGTTTTATATAACCTGGTTTTCCTGTCCATTGTAGATTCAGACAACGCTGCGTCACAAGTCTGAGATAGAACACCACCGCAATAAGATTCGTCTTCGAGCTAAGCGCAAAGGACACTATGAGTTCCCCCTGGCGGACGTTGTGGGAGTGACAGACACCAAGGAGCGCCAGCGCATGTACCGGAGGGCACAGATGCAGTTTGATAAGATTCTGGATCCAGTGTTGGGTGTTCCCACAGTGTTCATAGAGCCCCGCAAGAGGTAGGACAGATCTACAGACAACATCATACCGCCATCTCTCACTACATTGGCTCTTAGTGATCACATGACATTGTCATACTGCCATCTCTTACTACACTGTCCTCTTGGTGATCACATGACATCATGCTACTCTCATCTCTCACTATATTAGCTCTTAATGATCGCATGAGATTGTCATGCTGTCTTCTGCCTCTACATTATTATTATACAGGATTTATATAGCGCCAACGGCGCTATATATATAGCGCAGCGCTTTACAATATACAGATCAAGATTGCTTAATTTCAACTCTACATTTCCTCTTAGTGATTACATGACATCATCATACTGTCATCTCTCACTACAATGCCTCTTAGTGATCACATGAGATCATCATACTGTCATCTCTCACTACATTGGGTCCTAGTGATCACATGATATCATCACAATGCCAGCTTTCACTATGTTGACGCTTAGTGATCACTTCACATTATCATACTTTCAGGTTTCACTACATTGCCTTTTAACAATCACATGACATCATCATACTGCCATCTCTCACTACATCGGCTTTGAGTATTAACAAGGCTATGATGATTGTATGACATCACCCAGTAAGGTTTAGCATCTTTGGCTGCACATGATCACATGACATCACATGTCCTTATGTTAGAAGATTTTAAAGCATTTATTTAAAGTCTACAGGATTATGTCTATTTTTATTTCTTTGAAGTGCTGAAGATAATGGGTATAATTAAAAAAACAATAATTTCAATTATTAAATACATTTTTAGCTCTCGAGCGCGACGTTCGCCGAAACAAAGGCGTCGACAGCAGGGCTCCGCCAGCCCCCCAGATGCGGATCGAGATCGCTTAATTGCAACTGATAGCGACGGCACCTACAAGAGGCCCCCAGGAGTCAGTAACTCTGCCTATGTGGTAAGTCTGGCTTCAGTCTGGTTTTTATTCATAATAGAGAAGGGGAAGACTAGAAGCCCTGTCAGATTTTTTTATCTATCTATGTCCTTGTTGTAAATGTTTCTCTTACTTCCTGTCCGGTAAAGTGTTGTCAGCAGGACAGGAAGTGAGGATAAATCTAATGGAACCCTGCATAGCAATAAAAACCTGGCCGGGGTCCTAAACCTTCCCTACTTCATCCAAAAAAAGTGATGCTTTACGTTTCGCTTGACATATACTTTATCTGTCGCTCACCCTTGTAGTGGAGGAGCAGAGGGAGAGAATGTGCAAAGTGCTGGTTCACTTTAAGAACAATTTTTTTTTGGTGTGTGATGCAATTGTATTGTATGAAGATATAAGTGCTATGTGATTCTCATCTGTGTCTGTTCCTCCCCTGTAGTCAGACCCGGATCTGCCCTCTGACAACCCCACACCGTTATCCGAGTTGGGTAAATACCCCGGCTCTCTGCCCCGAGGCCCTCCCCCTGCACAGTATGTGGCCCCCCAGCCTTCCATTGAAGAGGTCCGTCAGACTATGCAATCTCTTCTGGATGATGCCTTCGCACTGGTGGCGCCCAGTAGCCAGCTTGCAGTGCAAGCTGGGAACTCCCTTCCAGGGCAGCAGCAGGACAATGACACCACCACCCGCAGCGGAAGGGGCTCTACAGCCTGGGGGGCCCAATATCCGTCCCACCAATCATCACACTACAATGTAAGTGAAAGGATTCTGATAAACATGTTAGAAGATACGCAAGGGCAAACACTTCTTTTTAGTTTTGAATGGAGTGGAGCAAGGGTTAGGGTTAAGAGTTTGTTTATATCTGTTAAATAAGTGTGAAAAATACCTGTTGATCCTGCCAGATGTCCAGTGAGCTGATAACTTCCTGTGCACCCTCTGCTCTAAGACAGGGATTGTGTTTATGACAGGATTATCTGATGAGTCCCAATCACATTTTCTTTTGTGTTCTTTTCAGCGATTTGTGGATTACGGTGTGACGCAGCCCTCGGCTCCCAGCATGCTAACAAGGTAATGTTGTAGCAGCAGATATAAAAGACACTAATTAATACAGCTCCATGTATAATCATACATCATTAAATGTCATTTCTTTTCATGCACCTACCCAGTGGCATCACAAGGAGGGCGTGGGGTGACACCATTGGGGGGGTGACACCAAAATGACTGACAGTTTTGGTGTCACCCCCTCTAAAAAGTCGTGCACTCGGTCATGGACCTAGAGCCTGACAGTGTCAGGAGAGAGGAGGGGACCCGGCGGGATGAGGTATGGTCCCCTCCACTCTGCCGGCGTCCATCACCAAGATGGCCGCCGGAACGTGTCAATTAGACAGCCGCGCATGCGCAATGACGTCACGGTGTCACCCGGCCTCGGGGCTCCCCTGCACCTACCTGACGCTGGCCTGCTATCAATCCCTGTATGACACAGGAGTTTAGACTAGGGGATGGAGAAGCAGCAAAAGAAGACCGTCCGTTATACCGTAGTTAAAGCAACATGCTGATAGGAGGAGCGAGTGACCAAAAGATGAGCTTATCAGACTTCTGCTTCTACGGTCACTGTCCAATCACAGGCTGGGGGAGGGACAAGACCTGTAAGTGTTACTGAACCGCAGCTGAGAAAAATAAGATCACTTTCCCTGCCTCAAAGGTCTGTGTGACAAAGCTGTGCAATTCTCAAGACTGGATGGACAAATACAAATCCTTTGCTAGGCAAAAACAACTTCCATAAATGCATTTTATCTGTGTGTCTAGCTGTTTGGAGTTTAGCTTTGGTCTAAACTATATCCCTGCGCACTGCCTACTATGGAAGAGCACTGCTGACAGCCCCTTGTTTATAGCCAGTTAGGATACAAATAAGAAGGGCCATTGTCATGAGGGACGTTGTAGTGTTGGAGTTCCTTTAATGATGTGAAAATTAACATCACCATTTCCCAGAATGCAGCTGGCTCTGGCACGGGGCCGTGGGTGGAAATTTCCTCCAGATTCCATTAATAATGAGATCAGTGAGCTGGTACAGCGGTCACGGCACATTGGCTTCAGAGCCGTGCCGAATGGCTGATGTGCGGAGAGATTGATCTGTGGAGTGCAGCGGTCTCTCATGGCCCTGTTCCTGGCCAGGGAATATTTCACCTCTGATGCAGTGAAGTGTGGGAAACGCGGAGACATCGGAGAGTTTTATGGGTTTTTTTCTTAGATTTATGTGTGTATTGCTGGCTCCCCAGCACATTCTCCGTGAATACACCTGTGCAAAACTCGTACCAAGGACCATTGAACCCAAATAACAATCCAACCCTCTTATATAAAAGACATTGACGGTCACAAATGTCTCTGTAAAAAAAACCAGCTTATCATAACAGAAGTTATTTGATATAAAGTTGCAATCGGAGGGGAAAACCTTTCCCTGCGCACAGTGTATTTCCTGTCAGTAATCACATAGAAGGGCAATGCAGGTAATGTCAGCTCATCATGAGATGGATGATCAATGTTTTCAGGAGGTGGTCCCATGTGTGGCCCCCATGTATGATACCCAGGGACCACTCTCACAGATTGGGAAACCTATCTCAAATTCTACCCCTCCATAATATCAGCAGTGTCTTTTGGTTCCCCCTGCTGCTTTTGGTGAGATGACATTTGGTGAGAATCTGGAACAGCTGTGGCAACCAATCAGCTCTTCTGTTTCATTTTCACATTTTAAATGAGTAAACTGAAAAGAGAACCAGATTGGTTGCTATGGGCAACTGCTCCAGATTTTGTCTGTTCCAGTTTTTATCAATGCCCCCCGTTGTCCTTTCAAGTTGAACATTTGTGTTTGTTACATTTCTGGTCCCTGGGTTGATCGGATTGTGGTCGCTTGTCTTCCTTGTAGGACACCTGAGCCTTATCACATGTTCTGTCACGTATTTCTGGAAGTGTGTCAACGCTCAACATGATGAATCCCATTTTTCTCAATGGTGCCCGTTCACACCTGAACGTTGTGTCCCCTGTTGCTTGTGAAGCTCAAAAAAGTACACAAGCTTCTATTTAGGCCGAATTGCGCATTTTTGGACCCCATAGACTTTAGTGAGAGTGCATGAAAATGATAAAAAAGCATGATTGTGCAACTAACTAGGGATACACCGGTACTGTTATTTTGGTATCGAGTACGAGTACCGATATTTATCTTTTGGTACTCGCCGATACCGAGTACCGATACCGGTACTTCCCTAGCATAGAGCCGGCTTCTCAGGCAATCAGGAAGCCAGGTGGTGTGTCATTACCCGTCTTTGATTTCCCGGGAAGTCGGCTCCGTGCTGATTGGCCAGGAAGCCGTTTTCCATGCCAATCAGCATGGAGCCAGCCATACAGCATTGAGCTGGCTTCTCGGCCAATCAGGAAGCTGGGCGGTGATTCATTACTCGGTGCCCAGCTTCCTGATTGGCTGGGAAGCCGGCTCCATGTTCCCTCGCAGCACTGCCGGTCATAGGAAATCTCCAATCTCCCTCTGACCGGAGGTTCCGGTATCGGGGGGGGGGGTACAAATACTAGGTATCGGCAACTATACAGATACTGATATCGGTTCATCCCCTACACCTAACAGTAGTCACTTTCTCCTCCTAGTAACTATCTTACATTGGCTAAAACAAAAACGTTCAAGCCTGGAAATGTGCAAAAAGAAAAAAAGCGCAAAAACATTTAAAAATCACCTGAAATGCTCATGTGTGTACGGGGGCTCAAGCATCTAGTAAAACCAATGAGCCAATTGCTTTAGACGTTTTAAAAGTTTAGACGTTTTCCTCAATTGAATTTTTTTGATAACTTATTGTAGGTATATTCAGCAGACCAGACCAATCAGGACTGCAGCCTCTTGTCATGGGATTCTATGCTCTGCCACCTCCTTTTAATACTCCAGCGTATGTGGGCGGGGTTACTCAGAAAGAGGGCAGGGCTCAGAACCAGTGAACTCTCACGTTGCTTTTTCATAGGCTCGGATTCAAATCCTTGTTACCTTTTTGCTGTGACCGCTAAGAGCAGATATCTATTATTAATGTAACACATCTGGATCTTATAAGCGACAGGTTGCAGTATTATTTCATTACAGGACAGGAAGTCACAGGTGTGCAGGAAAATGTCTTTCCCCCAGTAAATCAGCTATAATTTAAGTATATTCAGTTCTGATATGTTCCTGAAGCTTTTGTCATAGGATTTAATATAATTCTCTTACAAAGAAACAGATGAATCATTTCTATTTAGTAATCCTTTAAGTTGTGTCTTGTGTGTTTATTGGAGGTGGTCAGTCAGGTCCAGGCTCCTCCCCCTTCTCACGGTCTCTTCTATGCCCCTTTTTAGGAGTCCCGGGTTCGGTTCAGGGTTCCTCCCTCCATCGGAGGCAGCTCCGGCAGAGCCCCAGCAGACAGAGGCACATTACCCGGCCCGTATGTACCCTGAGGATATACTCTCTGTGGCCAGACCCCGCCCCCTGGGAAGCACCTCAGGTAATTAATATTCATGATGTGGCCGGTGATGAAAATGTAACACTATGGTTATGTATATGAGTCTCCTCTTTTCTATATCATGGGGGGAAATGTTCTGTAGTCCGGTCCTAGAGTGACAGCGCTGCTGCTCCATGGATACAGTATGGTGTGTGTGAGTGTTGTCACCCTAGGACAGGAAGTGTGTTATTCACGGGGGTCACCAGGTGAAAATAACAGATAAGAAGCCTGACATTGTTGTTCTTTGGTTTCGATATACTTTAGGGAATTCTCTTTTGTCTGGAGTATAATGTGTTATGTTGATAATTTGTTACTAATGAGGCTTTTTTTTCTTCACAGCAGGCTCTGCCCAGATCCACCAGCTGACCCAAGTGGGCATCGCGAGCCGAATGGGGGCCCAGCCCACAGACCTGGCTTTAAGTAGAAGCGGACAACCTTCTGGGGGCCCCAGCTGGCCATCTTACTATAGCCGTGATGAGGAGAATACCAGAAATCCCCCTCACCGAGATGCTGTAAGTGTAATACTTCAGACTACCCGTCCTGTCTCCAGCTGTCAGTGTACTCACTGTGCACAGAGAAAGTAAAAGAAAGACAAGAATGAGCCACACAGCACAGTTGTAGCTTTGGATGGAGTGGGGACGGGTTAGAGCCTCTGTTGGGTTTGTGCACCGACTAGGGAGGTTTCCCATCACTGTAGGCAATTAGATCCTAATAGAGATCCCAACCCTTTCTCCTCTCTATCCAAAACAAAAAATATTTGACTGGGATTTCTATTGATTGGGGATGCACCGATATATCGTCCGCCGGAACATATCAGCCGAAAATGGCACTTCTGGCCGATACAGCGGCACATCCCTGCTTTCTCTTCTCCCCGCTGGGCGCTGCTCTGTGTCCCAGCGGGGAGGAGAGAAACTGTCACAGGCGGCCGAGCAATGCGGGAGGAGATCGCTGTGAGTGGCCGGCGCCTCTCCTCCCCGCACTGCTTGGCTTCCTGTCACAGATCAGGAGAACGATGTGTGGGCAGAGAAAGCCAGCTCCGCCCACTCAGCCTCCTGTGACTGCATGTCAGGATGGAGAGCGGGTACAAGCAGTCAGTGATCAGAGATCAGTAAGTGTTTGTATGTAATTGAGGACAGAGTATGGTTACTATAACCTCAATTATGATATACGGCATCCTCAAATACAATTACCTCAATTATGAATGAATGGGAAGTGATTTACATCCCCTCCTGTTCATTCGTGATTGTAGTTATAGTAACCATACTCTGTCCTCATGTTATCAATGAACAGGAACACTCAGCATAGAGGATTCCTGTTCATTTATAACAGGGACTGCAGAAAAAGAGATTGAGGACTCTGTGTCCTCAATCTCTTTTTCTATTTAAAGGGAAATATCACAGTGTCTGTTTAGACTCCTAATATCTCCCAGAAGCCCCTAAAAGTAAAGTGAATTTAATTTGGAAAAGTTAAAATAAAAAATATTTTCGGTTTCGGCCTGAAATTTTTTTGGTTTATTTCGGATTTTCGTTTCGGTTTTTAAAATTTTCCGTTTGGGGCACCTCTACTATTGACATATCAGATATTTAGTTTTCTGCACCGGTGGAGAAATGTTTGCATACTGTACATCCGTGTGAATGTTATTATATGTCTGTTGTGTGTTTTATATTGTCGTGTCTGTTGTTTGTAAGTATGATTTGATGTTTATATGTCTGGTTGCTAATATTTTCCTCTGATTCCTTACTTCATACCTAAGCCAATCAGTCATAACGCTAACCGATGCATAGTGACCCTGTTAAATTTTGGTCTGGGCACCTCTGGTCCTGAAGGATTAATGAACAGTGAACACACACGGATATAGTCTTCTCTTTCAGATTCCATGTAAAAAATGTACAACTCTCTCTTCCAGGGTCACATTCATGGAGCCCAGGACTACTGCACCCCACAGATGTATGGAGGTAGCAGGCCTTCAGGCCGCCAGCCCTCGGGGCACCTCCCGCCCTCCATGTGTTATCAGGCTGGATCCGCTGAGGACATTCATCCCGGTCACTCCTCCGCCTCCCTCATCAAGGCCATCCGCGAGGAACTGCTCCGCCTCTCGCAGAAGCAGGTGGTGGCGCCCGCCTATCACAGCTGATAAGGGCTGGGTGCGGCACCTATACTGTCCGCTTCCTATGGAAGCCAGAGCGGGATCATTGGTCAGCATCGTAACTACTGGTGGGTGTAAGAGCAACCCCGCCCTGGGTGGGTCAGCAACACAGGCTGCTGCGAGCACTGATGGAACCGGGCATATAAACTGTTCTAGATGGGGGCTTCTAATCCTTCCATTGTCGTGTGTCTAATAAGATGTACAAATTAAGGGGTACTCCACTTTTAAAATACTCCAGTATTTCCTACTTTAACATTCTAGAGATCATAGGTTCTCCTTTAGTTGCTGACATGACACTGGCCTTTGGGGGCTTGCTGTGCTCATGTGTGACCATTGGGGGCTACTTAACCAAATGGTCTTTCATTGTCTCCCAGCACTTCATCCAACATGTTGTATTCCTCCACTTCATTTTCCTCCGATTTATAAAAGTTGGAAATGTACAGTGACAGGGCATTGTGGAACGAAGACTGATTGGACAGGCAAAAACAACACAGGGAACAAAATTAATACAGAGAGTCACAGAAAGTTCCTCTTTGGCTAATGGATGACTATGTTTCAGGGTGACCTACTTCCCTGTTTAGGCATAACAGATTGCAACACATTAGAAGTCATTAAAGCAGAATGGGAGGTGGAAGATGAAGCAGGTGATGTGTAGATTTGAAGGATGTGACCGGCTACTGTGAGGAGGTGAGTTCAAGGAGAGCCTTGACTGTTCCTAATCAGTAGAAAGTGTGATAGAGCCAATGAAAAGGGTTCCAGAGTGAAGATGAAGCACAAGAGAAGTCTTGGCTGCAGAGTGGGAGGACAGAGAAGATGGTTTTGAGTTCTAAGGGATAGAAAGGACCACTCAACAGGTAAATTCAGGGAAAGCCTGAAACATTCCAGATGTTGATGGTGGAAGGTCTGATAGAGCCAAGGAGAAGGGTTCCAGAGTGAAGATGAAGCACAAGAGAAGTCCTGGCTGCAGAGTGGGAGGTGACGGCTGAAGAAGATGATTTGCAGGTCTCTTATAGATATAATAGATAATAGATATGCCTCCCTGAACTTCCTGTTTGGGAGAGAGCACTATATCTATTATATAATATAGATTTTGTAGATCTCTTATGGATATAATAGGCCACTAACAGGTAAGTTCAGGGAAAGCCTAAAACATTCCAGATGTTGATGGTGCAAGGTCTGATAGATGCAGAGAAAGGGTTCCAGGGTGAAGGTGAAGCACAAGAGAAGTCCTTGCTGCAGAGTGGGAGGTAGAGGGCAGAGGAGATGATTTGTTGATCTGAGGGATATGATATGTCACAGGGTGGTGAGTTTAGGAAGAACCTAAAACATTCTAGATTAGTGGAAGGTTTGATAGAGCCAGGGAAAGGATTCCGCAGTGAAGGTGCAGTACAAGAAAAGTAATTGATGCAGATTGGGACATGGAGAATGAAGTAGGTAATTCCTAGATCTGAGGAATATAATAGGCCACAGGGTGGTGAGTTTAGGAAGAACCTGAAACGTTCTGAATTATTGGAAGGTTGGATAGATGCAGGAAAAGGATTCCAGAGTAAAGGTGCAGCGCAAGAGAAGTCATTGATGCAGAGTGGGAGGCGGAGGATGGAGTAGAGGATTTGTAGAAAACAGTAGTTTTATACTGGTGGAGCTTTGTAGGTGAGCACAAGATGCGCAGCCAGTGTAGAGACCGGGAGCAGAAATGGTGGGGGACATCGGCTGGCAGCCACATTTAGGACTGATTGACTGCTGGTGACTCAGGGCTGCTTAGGTATTTAGTGCCTCTTGGTGTCTGGTGATTTGATAGACTAGTTGTTCCCAGCTGGTCAAACATCTGACCCAGTAATTTCCAATACATTCTATACACTCCTGTCTGGTAACAAGTGGGATTCATAGGGCTCATTATATGAGTTGTAGATGGTGTGAGAGCTCCCAGTGAAGGTGATAAAAAGGACCGGACAGGCAGAGATTCAGCCGGCTGAGGAGGATTGAAGTGGATGTGTGTAGCTGAGCTGCAGTTTTTGTGGTCATAACAGAGAAGTTTCATTAGTAAACAGATTCAGGAGAAGACCAAACTGTATGAGGGCCGAGCTGCATGTATGACTGTATGAGGGCCGAGCTGCATGTATGACTGTATGAGGGCCGAGCTGCATGTATGACTGTATGAGGGCCGAGCTGTATGTATGACTGTATGAGGGCCGAGCTGTATGTATGATCTGTGTTCGGGTTTCATGGCAGCAGAAACCCAGACACAAGATGTAAGGCAGACAGGGGCAACCACAATTAAGATAGGGGCTACTGGCCCCCCACTGAAAATAGTCTTAATTGTGATATTTACATATGAATGGGTTGGCACTATTTACATATAAATAAGCCGCGACTCATTCTCCCCCAAAAAAATGTCCGCGCGTCGCTAGAGTGTTTGGGTTGCACTTGAAGAAAAGGTGGCAACCCTAGCCGAGCTGATTGTATGATTGTATGATGGCTAAACTGTATGTATGAGGGCCGAGCTGTATGTATGACTGTATGAGGGCCGAGCTGTATGTATGACTGTGTGAAGGCCGAGCTGTATGAATGACTGTATGACGGCCAGGCTGTATGTATGACTGTATGAGGGCGGAGCTGTATGTATGAAGGCCGAGCTGTATGAAGGCTGAGCTGTATGTATGACTGTATAAAGGACGAGCTGTATGTATGACTGTATGAGGGCCGAGCTGGATGTATGACTGTATGAGGGCCGAGCTGGATGTATGACTGTATGAGGGCCGAGCTGGATGTATGACTGTATGAGGGCCGAGCTGGATGTATGACTGTATGAGGGCCGAGCTGGATGTATGACTGTATGAGGGCCGAGCTGGATGTATGACTGTATGAGGGCCGAGCTGGATGTATGACTGTATGAGGGCCGAGCTGGATGTATGACTGTATGAGGGCCGAGCTGGATGTATGACTGTATGAGGGCCGAGCTGGATGTATGACTGTATGAGGGCCGAGCTGGATGTATGACTGTATGAGGGCCGAGCTGGATGTATGACTGTATGAGGGCCGAGCTGGATGTATGACTGTATGAGGGCCGAGCTGGATGTATGACTGTATGAGGGCCGAGCTGGATGTATGACTGTATGAGGGCCGAGCTGGATGTATGACTGTATGAGGGCCGAGCTGGATGTATGACTGTATGAGGGCCGAGCTGGATGTATGACTGTATGAGGGCCGAGCTGGATGTATGACTGTATGAGGGCCGAGCTGGATGTATGACTGTATGAGGGCCGAGCTGGATGTATGACTGTATGAGGGCCGAGCTGGATGTATGACTGTATGAGGGCCGAGCTGGATGTATGACTGTATGAGGGCCGAGCTGGATGTATGACTGTATGAGGGCCGAGCTGGATGTATGACTGTATGAGGGCCGAGCTGGATGTATGACTGTATGAGGGCCGAGCTGGATGTATGACTGTATGAGGGCCGAGCTGGATGTATGACTGTATGAGGGCCGAGCTGGATGTATGACTGTATGAGGGCCGAGCTGGATGTATGACTGTATGAGGGCCGAGCTGGATGTATGACTGTATGAGGGCCGAGCTGGATGTATGACTGTATGAGGGCCGAGCTGGATGTATGACTGTATGAGGGCCGAGCTGGATGTATGACTGTATGAGGGCCGAGCTGGATGTATGACTGTATGAGGGCCGAGCTGGATGTATGACTGTATGAGGGCCGAGCTGGATGTATGACTGTATGAGGGCCGAGCTGGATGTATGACTGTATGAGGGCCGAGCTGGATGTATGACTGTATGAGGGCCGAGCTGGATGTATGACTGTATGAGGGCCGAGCTGGATGTATGACTGTATGAGGGCCGAGCTGGATGTATGACTGTATGAGGGCCGAGCTGGATGTATGACTGTATGACGGCCGGGCTGTATGTATGATTTCTTCTAAAGGATGAATCGTGTGGAAGGATGAGGTTTTGGGAGAGTTTAGAGTGGGGTTTCTGAGGTTATTTGTGGTCATTATATGTGGATATTTAGCTGGTCACCTTGACTCTGGATATACAGAGTCCTTGTTATGCGAACGTTTGGAGTTTGTCATACCTATTTATAAAGGTTCACAGCGGTCAGTTTGCCACATTTTCCCATTTTGTTTCATTTCCTGATATGACAACATTTGCCATTCCCATAAAATGTTTAAAATCAGTAAAATTGGAATATGTGAAAAATATACCCAAAAAAGCATTTTTCTGTATGTTGGGAAAACAGCAAATTCTGCCATATAACTGGAGACGCACAATGGCGAGATCACGATCCATCTCACAACTTCTCTATAAACAAGATCCACCAAAATCTTTTACAATGAAACAAATATTTTTGGCCTCATAAGTGGCCGTCACCCACCCAATCCCTGTTCTGAATGCCGTATTTGGTTGATGGCTACAGAGCTCATCACTGGAACCTCCGGCTATGGGATCCATCTCAGTGTCCAGACCAATCATCTTCCAGTGGTGCTGTAGAGCACCCAAGGGCTCCACATTGTGGTTACATGGCAGATCTCAAATAAAAAAAAATGCAACATTAAAGTAGTATTAAACTCTTAAACTTTTTTTCAATATTGAATCTTGCTCAATGAAATAAACATTGCCCAGCAATGTATTTGTTTTATTTTTTTGTTCAAGCACTTAGTTATCATGTTTCCAAACAGCTCCAACTCTCTCAGCTCCACTTCCCTAAACTTCCTGTCCAGCACAGGATCACAAGGGACAGCACAGTCACCAGCAGCCATCCATCTACTATGGGAGTTGTAGAGACACTCATAGCTTACTGGCACACACAAGGGTGGCTCAATAGGACCCTTCACGGGAAAGGAGCCACTCTAAAACAGGAAATCAGGCCCAGTGCTCAGGGGACCAGCTGAACTTCCTACATTAACATTTCACACATTTTGGTTTCAAATAAAAGCCTCATCGGTCCTCAAAGAAGTATGTAAAACATATAAACTTTGAGACTTTTTTAATGCATAATTGCCCCGTTTGCCTGTATGGTAAACACACTAAGCTCCTGCAATCTCTACTGACCTGGTATGTTCCTGTTGTCGCCTGCTGTTGCTGACCCAGCCAGTAATGGGAGGGTTAATTTTCGGTGCTACAATCCAGCACTATACAAACTGACTGTTCTGTAATCAAATGCTGACATATCTGTGTTAACA